TCTAACCATTTGCAGATGTCATTGCAAAGGCAGCATATTCTCCTCAGTTATTTTAGGACAAATAAAATAGGACAAATCGTAAGATCCACTGAAATCTTCTCAGAATTTTGGTCTGATCCGTTATTCTGCCACGACTAACTATAGCATATGATTAGTGAACTACATTTGAGTGGGATTTTTAAAGCGATAACATTGATTAGATTTTGATTTAGAGATATGCGCCGAACCGTGAAACCCTCCCTTTAACCACTGCAATTCCGTAGCTGATTGTCATGACGCGGTCAACAAGCTGGAACTCTGAGATCGAGTACGCAAAATATCTCACAATGTGTGGCCGTGTAGAGTGTACCAGATCAAAAGATTCAAGTAAAAACTATGATTTTGTCTATCCTTCGAATGCAGACGACTTCACGCAAATATCAGGATTTCCGAAGAAAATCGGTCAGCAAAGCGAGCTCATTAATTAAATGGTACAGTGATATTTTTGAATTCTCATTATAAAACGACCAGTTGAGATCGAGCCGTTGATCGTTTCGGGCTGGAACAAACGCTTGATACACGCAAATATCATAAAAGTTGAAACCTGAGAAATCATATTTGATCGTCTTTTTATCGCGCGTTGTTTATGAGAACTGCCATGACGCTCAGATTGAAGCAGTATGTGGTGGTGACAGATTCTCTATCGTCTCAAACATTACTTTACACTTTCTGTTTTGCCAGTCAAATCATCGCCGACGTTGTTTTTTGCTGACAAGAACAAGAGTTAGCTCTTTCTGTTTCAAGTGACACATGCGTATTGTCATTTTAATAGCTGCTGCGAAGTCCATGCCACTCACCTTCTTCCTTGTTGACAATGTTATCCCTGAAAGTTAATGACTGATATGTTGAAACTGTTTTACTTCTCCGTCGGAAACTTGGTTTTCTTCTACTTTGAGCAATTCACACCGCAGTGGAATCTCCCTTCTTCTTCCGAATTTTATAGCCGAACGACCATCAAAGACCCATCAAAGGTCCTTGTTCATGATGCCCCCGTGTAGCTCACGTGATATTCTCATGACATCAGTGAAACCCATTTCAGTCAACAGAGCCCCCCGTCCGTTTAGCCGGCGGGGCCTTGGCGCGAGGAAAAGGTGACTCTGGAGACATGATTTGATTGGCTAGATTCTTGGATTTTTACTAATCCAACGCTGTTTTTTTTCTCTCGAAAGTATCCACTAGTTGATTTCAAACTAAAAATTTTCGATTACAGCGCCAACAGACCTTTCTCAAAGAGGATCGAACCAATGAGAGTCCTTTCATTCCGATTGGTAGAAACGGAAAAGCACACAGATCGGGGGCTGTTACGAAAACGCGGAGTGCGGAGTGCGGAGTCTAAAAAAAATAAATAAAAAATAAAAAAAAAAAAAGAAATTAAAAAAAGAAATTAAAAAATAGAAATAAAAAATTTAAAAGTAAATTAAAAGAATAATGAAATACATAAATAAACTAGAAATAGAAATTTAAGAAATAAAAATAATAATTATTAGGGAATTCACACCGCCTGAGGCGGACTGTTCATATCGCCTATACTACGATTATCAGTTGAGTAAGGCACGAGGGAAGCTTGGTTACGAAGTTTTGGCCTTAAAATTATGGTGTTGTCACGGGCAACTTACCTCGTTTCCATTGGTAAC